TTGTGGTTGTGTGTTTGTGGTTGTGTGTTTGTGGTTGTCTGTTGTGGTTGTGTGTTTGTGGTTGTGTGTTTGTGGTTGTGTGTTTGTGGGTGTGTTTGCGGTTATGTGTGTGGTTGTGTGTTTGTAGTTGTGGCTGCGGTTGTGTGTCTGTAGCTGTGGTTGTGGTTGTGTGTTTGTGGTTGTGGTTGTGTTTGTGGTTGTGTGTTCGTGGTTGTCTTTGTGATTGTGTGTTTGTGGTTGTGGTTGTGGTTGCGTGTTTGTAGTTGTGGTTGTGGATGTGTGTTTGTGTTTGTGTGTTTGTGGCAACTTATTAATAATTAAGAGAGAAAAATCATAAGTTGCCAATCATTATTTGTGTTAACAGCCTAGCCGATAACCGCGATGAAAAATAATAAATTCATCGCTCATGAAAGGGTTACTAATATTTTTCTTACCTTTATTTTCATCCTATGTGTCTTACCTTTTGGATGTGTAAGGGGGCCCCAGATCCAAGGGTTGTGTTTGTGGTTTTGTGTTTGTGGTTGTGTGTTTGTGGTTGTGTGTTTGTTGTTCTGTTTGTAATTGTGTGTTGAGGTCCGGCAGGGAACACTGGGCGCGGAGGGTCGTGGTTGAGGTCCGGCAGGGAACACTGGGCGTGGATGGTCGTGGTTGAGGTCCGGCGGGGAACGCTGGGCGTGGATGGTCGTGGGGTTGAGGTCCGGCAGGGAACACTGGGCGTGGATGGTCGTGGTTGAGGTCCGGCAGGGAACACTGGGCGTGGATGGTCGTGGTTGAGGTCCGGCAGGGAATGCTGGGCGTGGATGGTCGTGGTTGAGGTCCGGCAGGGAATGCTGGGCGTGGATGGTCATGGTTGAGGTCCGGCGTAGGACGAGGAGGAGAAGGAGGAGGAGGAGGAGATAGGGCTGACATAAAATCTAACAACCCTCACCTGACAGGTGGGGAATTCTGACCCCGCTTCCCTTTGTAGAGTTAGACGCGATGATAAACAGGTGGTGCCATCCACTTCCATGTTAGTGACTTGGAGTGTGATGATGATGGTGATGATGATTTTGGAGCACCACGGTGGTTTATCACTTTGTTCTTGCATCCTGGAGCAATCGGCCTGGCCATTCGAATTCCCTTTTCACAGGGGGCGAACGCGATGAAGTTCCCGAACTCCGATGGAGCAAATGGAGTGGCTACTCCCGAAGGGCTTCGGACCAATCGAGTGACAGCGAGAGTGATCACTCGAGTTTAGAGTCCAGTTCGAGCATTGATTTGGACAATGACAACAAGGAATGTCGCCTGGTTTTTGAGCCCATTGCAACTCAGAGGCATCAACATCTTTGTCCGGGGAGGTGAATTAAGGTCGCTACTAGTAACAAGTGCATCGCTACTACTATCTAAGGGCCTTACGAACCGTTCGTAGCTGAAAAAAATTACACCAGCATAGACCCAGATAGCTAGGCAGAATTCCACGACCTGTTCACATGCGACTGGCTGGAACAAGATGTGCGCAGCCTGCGCAGCCAGCTTACGGCACCTCCACAGCGGCACCCAGCACCCAGCACGGGCACCCGGCACCAGCACCAACAACCTGTCTCCACCACGCAGCACCGGCACCGCCACCCGGCACAGCCAGCTCAAAGCACCAGCACCAGCAACCTGTCTCGAAAGCGCGCACGGGCAACTCATTGTTATTTGAAGTAAGAACCCCATAGCTTCGCTATCTGGCAAAATTGCACAAAAAACAGGTCCAATCAGGTCGCCACGTGTGGAACTCGGTCGCTTGCGTTCCTTGGTCGCCATGTTGTTTCCATCAGGACATGGAAGTTCTCAGTGCCACGGAGTTTTTGATTGAGTGCGTTGGGCGGACGGTTGCAGAAGGTTTGACCTTCATGGACTTGGTTCACAACGACGAGAAGAACAACTGCCGGGCAGCTCCTGGGGCTGGTCTTGTTTGTTTTTCCCTGGTTGTTTGGGTCTTTTTGATGTCGTTCTGATTTTTCGATGTTCGACTCTTTACGCGCTCATTGGAGCAATGTCGTTTTTTAGTATTCACTCATTACGCACAAGATCCGCTCCAAATATAAACACGTTTTTGAGATGTTTTGCTACTTGCTAAGCTATCTCAAGGTCCTGTTTGTTCTTCTCCTACTTTACTACGTGCCTAAGATACTGAGATACCTCAGGAAATCATGGAGCATGTGAATGAGTTCATGGCCACCGATCTGGAAACCACGCAGTTCGTGATCAGCTTCCAAATGCTCTTGCGCTTCGGCACCTGCTACACCACGTGGCGATGTCGCCTCGCAAAGGTTGAGGAGGGACAAAAGCTGGTGTCTCATGCGCAAATGTCTCTAGTCCGAACGGTAGGACGGTCGGCCCGGTCTTGGTACGGAGGGTCTGTGTGGCAAAAGGGAATTTTACTTGTTATATACTAACGACGAGTCAGTCGCGTTTCGGAGGGTCTGTGATGAAACTAGATTCTGGCTGAATGAACCGTGTTAGTTTGGGTTTCACAAAACCTGTTGGAGGGTCCGAGCATGGAAGGACTGAGGCAACTAAGGACTGGGAAGATGTATTTGTTCCACTTTGCAAGATTTGCATAGAATAGATGTGTTGGAAGGTGTTTGGGGAGCTTTTTCTGGGGGTGTCAGAGAGACAACGCAAAAGCAGCAGATGCTGGCGGTCTGTTTCGACTTTTTTTTGTGTGTTCATCCTAGGATACGGATGAAGAAGCCTCGCAAAGGCAGCAAAGCAAGCAGGACCAGCAAAAAGAGCCAAAGGACCACGTCCGACCACGGTGAAGACTCACATTCCGGCCAGCTACGGCCCACCCTCTACGGCAAAGGGAAAGGATTGTCAAGCACTCCAAGTGACTTGGACCAACGGACGTTCCGACCTGTTCGACGCTCGCAGGGGGTTGGCGCCCAACCTTTAATCGTGTTTAAGACTGTTTGGTATCACGAAGTGGATGAACTATTCGGGAAAGTAGGGTCGATCATGACCGGGGGTCGATCATGACCGTTTTTCATCCGTTTCGGAACTTCCTGGGGTGAAGCCGGGGGACCCTTCGGGTTGACGATAGACAAAAGGGCAGGCGCATCCCCCTGTTGGTTTTGGTGCCCACACCGACACCTGTTTGACAAAGCGCAACATTTGAATGTTTACAATGTGACACTACTGAACTGCTGCTACTAGTGCTTTTGCTATGTTATACCTGCTATCGCTACAACCTTCTACCCACTACCTATGCCTACTATATAACACTGTTGCCGTCACGAATGGTGAATTTCTATTGCTTCGAGCGATCGAGACTGACTGCGGATACCAGCTTTGAGCGATCGAGTCATGTCCCGGAGAGACTCTTGTACCACACTACGGGTCACAGGGTCTACTAACTATATACCAACTACATCCAAAATAACTACTACCTACCGCAACAACAACCACAACCACTTGTGGTTGCTGCTACGTACTGCTACTACTCCTACTGACACGAAAAATACATCTATATATCAATGTTATATTGTATTAATCACTACATATCACTATAAAATACGGTATGTAGTACTGTAACTGTATGTATGTATGTATATATTTATGTTGTTTATTTATGGTCTTATTCGATCTTCTCTCACTTTCAGCAAATTTCCTTGATGTGAGTCAACTCGTTGGGTGATTCCGTCCTATCCATTTGAGGCCAGAGTGTGTTTGTCTCATCTCCAAGCGAACCGTCGGCTTCTGTCGACTTCGGCACCGGCAGTGTTTATATAATTATGAGAAGAGGCCCCGTAAAAGGACTATACTTCAAACACCAAAAGTTTCTTTTCTGCTTGAAGGTCATGAATTCTTCCCTGAACATCTTGCCAAGATTGCCATTGGGCAAACACATCACAAAAGGATTTGTTTTGTTCTCCGCCACGTGGCGCTTGCTTGACCCTCCACCTGTTCGCCTGTTCGTTGCTTGTTTGGGGATTGCTTTTTGTTTGTTTTCAGACGGATTTTGCCATCCAAGGACGCGATTCTCTGCACCCAAGCTGCAAAGATGCTCCAAGAGATGCTCCAAGACATGCTCCACACATGGTCCCCCTCAAAAGGGTGAACGGTTCCCGACCGGATCCGAATCGACCGCCGAGGTAAGAGGATCCATCTGCGCAGGGGCGGTTGTGCAGGGGTGGCTGTCGAAGACAGCATCAACCCAGAGATTCTCAGATGCAGTCGTGAACTGAAAAAGTCGTTAGCGCATTTTGTCGAGCGATGGCAAGCCACCGAAGCAAACGCGCGGAATCACATCAAAGTACTTAAAAAAAGAACAACAAGCAGACACAATTGCATCCTTGAACTCACCTGTCTTTTCCATCTTGTCTTGGACGCGTGGAACAAGAGTCCAGGACCTACTCGCAACACGAGTCCAGCCGTCTAGAGACGCGTCTGCTAGGCGTCTGCAAGGATGGCCACGCAAGAACGCTTCAAGGCGTTGACCGCCCTTCTCCACCGATGGAACGGACCGTCGTCCGGGTTCGTTTGGGAGCGTCACCAATTGACATGACATCAGAAAGCAAGATGGAACCATAATGGACCATCCGAATTGCAATCATTTGAATATAGATGTGTTATTCTGGATGGTGTGTTATTGAATATAGATGTGTTATTTGTTGGGTCTTCCAGGTTGCACAAGTTTGTGCCTATGCGTTCGGGACATGTTTCAGCCCAAAATGTTGATTGCTTGCATAGTGCACATGTGCCACAAGCCGAGCCCTTTTTTTCCTTGACTGCCCATTTTTCTGGAGGCCATCGCTCTTAGGGGTTGGAGGCCATCGCTAGTAGGTTGGCCAATGAATGTCACGTCATTGAAATTAGATCGATTAGATGCTCCTAGTAGTACGGCCAGGAGCCCCTAGTAGCGTTCTTGCTCCTAGTAGCGATGCCAGGAGCCCCTAGTAGCTTCTAGGTCGAGGCGATGAGCGCTCTTTTGGGATTGTCCGACAGGAGGCTCGCTCCGGCATTCTATTTTCCTCCGATGTGGGGCAACTCAGCAATCGACATGATGTTCGGCGATTCTTTGTTGGTACTGGAACCCCCACACATAGGTTTGATGGTTTCTGTTGCAGCTTTGTATCGGAAGAACATGTGTCTTTTTTGCCTGCCTGGAAACCGCGTTCTGATCATCATTCCATTTAGTTGAGTGGTTGTAAGGCCTGTTAAGGCCTTGACACCGTACATGTCCAGATGAGGTCTCTGCGCGTGGTATGGACTATCCCAACATCTCACTGGCACATGCCTTAGCCAAATGTGGTTGTGTGATGTTTTGTGAGCGCACACCTCTTGAGGGAAGACACAAAGAGTACATCAGACATCATCACGTCAGAAGACATAAGTTGACCTAAGACCTTTGTGGGTTGGTGGATTTGAGTCAAATCTGAAGAAGCAATAGGCTCCCGCACTTCAGCGACCGGGTCCTAGTAACGTATGGAAGCTTGTAGATTCAGAGAACAACAATGTAAGAACTCATCCGCGTGGGAGTTCACCCACTGAACCAGGCAGGCAGGGTGTATGTCGCTGCCACTTCAATATCTATTCCTGGACACACCATGTTGCCTAGATTGACCCACTGTTCAACGCCCCTGAGAGGGGTTGTTCGCCCTGTTCGCCCTTGAGAGGTGAAGGGATGTCCGCACTGGGCCGTGATATACCAATGAAGTGGTCAGGATCCATGTTAATCCCTTTTTGGAGTTGCCGCCGGTCAGAGAGCTGGGCGTGCTTTTTCCTGGTGAGTCAGGTCATCCAATTTGGAGCACCCGCCACGCGAGAGATGCCGGGAACCTAGTGGTGGCCATTGGACATTCTGGAAGGGATGGGATTGACGAGGAGCACGGAGCACAGAAAAAAACAAACAATAACATTTAAACACTAGGTGGGGTGAGTGTTTTAGAGTGTTTTAGCACGTGTTGACAGTTGACAATGTTCCGTTTATAATGTTTCAATTCCTAACTGTTCTTCTGCTCCCGACCCCTTGGAAATTGATGGGAACATCACGTGATTGTTGGGGTGGAGGAGGGGCGATGTCCTGTCAAATAGAGCATCAGATTGGCTCTTGGCAATGGTGCATCTCACGCACTTGCTGTGAGAATCCTTTTGAATGTTGCGCCTTCAGAGCTCTCGAAGCAACCTTGAGACTCTGAAGTGCGCTGGACAACAGTGCAAGTCTTGCCCATCGGTTTGGCAAAACGGATGTTGCGTAAAGAGACACACAAAGTTCTTCTTGTCCCATCATTTGCAGTGCTTTTGAAGAAGCACAGAGCATTCAGTCACTTCATCCTGTTGTGAAAATGCATGCGCCTGCGTGGGCTGTTTTAGTTTCCAGACAAAGCGTACGCTCGCAATGGTGAATTAAAGAGGAGGTCACTCATGTGAGGGGTCATCCCCCAATTAGTGTATTTGTATATTGACACTTACATGGCCTTGTGCTTTTTTGACAAGGCAGGCACGCCCTTGCATTTTGACAGTTTATCCTTGAGGCAGGCCTTGCACCATGACCACTTCTTGGATGCGTTCAAAACGCCTTTGAAAAGTGCAGATCCCAATAAGCCCTTGAACATACGACAAAAGCAGATGAGAAATCGCACGCGTCAAGCCGTGCGGGACTTGGGGGCCGTGATGTTTACAGTCCGAGGTTCACCGCTGTGACCTTTCCATGCCTGAGGAAGCGAGAATGTTATCGGCATTCACGGTACATGCATGGTGTTCTCACGAGCACTAGAGTTGCTGGTCTGGACACCTGCTGCCACGTTGGACACTCATTCTGCGAGAAAAAAAACAGAATAAACACCAATTGGACGGGCCACCCCTTTGCGCACGCCACGTTCATTCTGCGACCGATCCGTCGCCCAGGTATATCCACCGTGTGGGCCGCACCGCACGCGCGGGCAAAGCCGGAGACGCGGTCGAAGACCTCGGAATGCGGAAAAGAAACCACGGTGGGCAGTTTAGCTGGCAGGTTGAGTCGAATCTTTACGTTTTCAGGATGGCCTGATGTCCGGCGTGCAAATGATCTCAAATGAGTTAGAGATATCGCCTGACAATGTTGCAACATTGACACTTCCCAGACACTCCATGGCATCTTATTCATATATATATATATACACATTGACCAATAAAACCTCCCCAATGTAGGCAAAATGCCAATCATTCCCATGAAGTGTTTGACATTCTGTGATCTGGTTGTTCACATTCTTCGCTGTCAACGTTCAGGTCTTGATTCTGGGAGAGCTGGAGCAAGCATTTCTTGCAGCTGTGCAGGACCTGCTTATTCGTGGCTTGTTCGTTCGCAGTCACAATGAACATAATAATGCAGACTTGATTAATATATAATCCCCCTGATTTGGATTGTAATATATACCTCTTCCAATGGGTGGTTTTATTAATCAAGAGTCTAAAGTAAGGGGTCCTGCGTCCCTAGTTCAGCTGATGCACAACAATCTGTGTTTCATCAGCTGAACTCCATTTGTTCCACGCACTGAATTCGCCTGGATCTGCTAACCAGTCGAGAAACGATCGCAGATAGATAGCCGAGTGGCGGCTTTTGACCAAACTGCACGACTGGGCTCTTTCCAGGAGGTCCTTGGATCCTTAGATCCTGCCCAGATGCCACAAGGATTCCAATGGTCGTATCACCAGTTTGGTCGATTCTTTCGCTGTCAGATCAGGACTTGGTGTGCAATGACGCGCCTTAGCACACACGAAACAGCAGGGCCCTGCGAGCTCAGGTACTATTTTGGCCGTGCCTGTCAGTCGAAACACGCTTCACAATCGGGGCTTTTCGGAAGTGCACCAAATACATCCAAATGCCACTGTTTGTTGCACGTGGTATAGATACGGGCAAATACATCGCACGTCAGACAAATTTCCCGATGATCGCGGCCTTGCACACGTGACGCTGGGCCTTCCTTGCGTGTGGCACTTAATGCCACACCGGTGGGGCAGCGGGTTGGGGGGGCTGGGCTGGGATATTAACGTCCGTTTCAATTGCGCGACAATAGCCTGTCCGTATACCTGGGTCTTCATAAGTATGCATGTTTTCCGCCTTTTCAATCAAAACTGCTTTTTCAAGCAAACGCCAACTGTTTTGTACTGAAGCACTTTTTGCATTGACATGTTTTCGATGGTATGTCAAGGTTTTGAAACGGCGACTTTTCCCGACCAAACGGCGACTTTCCCCGACCAAACGGGGACTTTTGCCAACTGCTAGTTTGGTAACCTCTGTAAAAACATCGAAACGGCACTTTTGAAATGAAACGGCGTTTTTGACGGCAAACGACTGAAATTTGTGCTGTTTCGCCAAGCGGCAGAAAAAAACACACCCGCGGAAGGTCCAGGTATACATAGCGCGCCTGAAATTTGCGCGAACTCTGTTGTGCTCGCACGCATGTATGGTGGCATGCACATAATATGCACGCCGTTATCTGTACGGTAGAATCCTCAGGCGCCTGGACATCGTAATTTCATTGAGGACAGCATGTCGTTGGGCGCGTGTGAAAACACAGCGGCCGCCGACCGTTGTTCAGCTGAATTCTAGCTGTTCTGTGCCAACATGCGGAAACCTCTGAGAGCCTGCCAACCCCTCAGGGCATCTCAGGGCGATCTTCTATTTGATATAAAGCTATAGACGCACCGTGCACCGGTGCTGTGTTCACTCGTCTTCCTGGGGCTGCCATTGGAGGACCTGCCCTTGCAACAGCATGCAAAGCATGATGAGCTCAAGCGCGTGAATGAGCTGTTTCCCGTCCCATGCGCGTGTTCGTTTCGCGTTCGCGTTGCCTTTCGCCGCGGTTCTGTGGTGGGGACGCTGTTGGGTGTGAAGCACATCCATCTGTTAGGTGTGTATTTGAATGGGGGACCCTAACCAGGACCCTCCAAGGGGTGTCTATGTAAATAGCCCCTGAGCTGTGATTCAGGGTGTGAACTAACCACCCCTTGGGGGTGCTGGAATAAACCGATAATGGTTGCTTGGATGCTTTGGTCTTTTTTCCCCGGTACTCCAGGGAGTCGGTGCAAAACCGAGGTCTCCCTGTTGAACCTACACGGAACCTCGTGCACGCTCGCATGGCTCGCGTGCATGGACGGGTGAGTTTGTTCACAGAGACTGAATTCCACCGAGTCACAGGGAGGATTCGATGGAGACCCAACCAAGCAGTCAGGAAGTCAGGGAGTTGCCTGGAGTCACGGGTTATGAGTTGTTCTGAACTGTTCCGAAGCAACGCTTCCTACGATCTGCTGGGACCCAGCCCAGCAGAGCCACCTGGCCAGCCCACAAGTCAGACTTGATCAATTGTGATATATTGTGGTTATTTAATTATAGGACGATTAAACACAACAACAACATAATACAACATTGTGCTCAGGTGTTGAGTCTCATTCAGGTTCGTTTGGGATATTGATCCACACGGCCATCGATTCCAAGCCACGCCCAGGTTGGTCAAGGCCCGACGGCCCGCGGTGGACATGCGGTCTAAGTCTCATGTCTGGGCTAGCATGTGTCTTAGCCTGGAGCGATGTCTCGATTGCACGTGAAAGTTTTAACACATCCAAGACTGAAATCTTGATGAATGTCCAACGTGTGGGTGCCTCCAAGGGAGCTTCATACTAGTGGAATCCCCGGTGCATTTTCCTCTAGAAAATGCAGGGGGGCTACCTCTCTATAACATGTTTTATAGTGGCACTCCTGAATACCATTCAACAGTGAAACATGGAAACAAATTCAGAAACAAAAGACGATGGATGATCATGGAAAACGTGCGCAAAGCAGCAGTCAAAGCATGCTCAAAATGCTTATGTTTGACCTTGGGGGTAATTTTGTAAACATTGCAAACATGTCTATGCCCTCCAAATTATACCCCAAGGGGGTGAATCACCGATTTATATTATATGGTATCTACATATATATAGTATTACAAAACGATATCCAAGTCCTCCCATGGATTTTGCCATGGGTGGAGAATAGATGAGAATAGCTCTTGCTGAAGCGCAAAGCTTTGAACAAGGCACGTTGGCAAGTGTGGTGAATTCCGGTGACCACGAAGGAAACCTGAAGATCCCCCTCCCTTCAAACCCAAGCCATCCAGCCACGGAATCGTTGATTTGCCCCATTGATGGCCTAAACGTTTCCAAATGTATGTAATTATGGTGCGATAATGTGCGATATGAACAAACCACCTGTGGGGATTGTGCCACCTTCTCTGAAACCACTGTAGCTATTCCATTTGCTTCAAGCCCCCTGTTCAGGCCACCACCAGCTGGTTGAGCTCTGCCCCCTTGCGCGCGGCCGCTGGGGGTGCCTTTGCCTCGCTGCTGGTGCACTACAAGGCAATGCGTTCTTTGCAGCGAAGAGAGTCAGAGAGAAGTCAAACCGTGCAAAACAGAGGCTGTGTACACTCCGACGAACGCATCACATGGTCACATGGACGGGTCCATGGCATGAGAGAAAGTAGACTTCCTTTCGGGACCATTTTCCACTTGTTGCTTGTTTCTGATCGGTGGTTTTTGACTCGCTTGCAGAATGAACCCATGGAATTCAGGTGTAGGCCTGGAAGCCCAAATCCCAAGCAGAAACAGTGGCTGAGACTGAAACAGTGGCTTTTCCATTTCGTTCTGGTCGGGACTGGGTTTCCAGAAGAAGACATGAATTAAGATAGGGATTCTTTGGGCGATACTCGTGCTAAAGCTGCACATCGGAGGCCACTCATCGCGTGCTCCACATGCAAGAGGATGATGCGATTCAGGCACCGACCACTCTGCCCTGTTCGAAGCAAGGCACAGCAACAATGACATGTTCTTAACCTGCTTTTCACCTGCAATGGCTTCACTTGCTTCTTTTTTCCCATGTGCCCCCAAAAACACATCACAAACCACCATGACTCGGTCGTACACATTGGTCTCACTGCTTGGTGCTCCTAGGCCTCCAGTGATCTCCTCCTAGGCGCCGTGGACTGGGACCGCGACGTGTCCGGTGGTCCGCTGTCGAGCTGCGGAGAAGTCTCGGTGGTCCCCACTAGCTGCGACAGCTGCCCCAGCTGCTGAATGTTTCAGAGTCTCGATGGCACAGACCCCAAGATGTCCTAGACAGATGGGGGTCCACATAAACCACCGACATTGGGGTCTGTGCCATTGGTCCTCTCATTCCACTATACGCTTCAGAGTGCGTTACCGTGAGTAGATGGCATTGGCACCCGAAGAGGTCTGGGGCCAGATGGGGGTCTGCAAAGACCACCACCTAACTTGGGGATTGTGCCATCTACTCTGAAACGGGAGGATGAAACGGGTTCTACTGCAACTCATTTTGTAAATCCTCCAGTCACGTGGATGGTTTGGGACAGCTCTCGATTTGGCGTGCATACGAAGTCTACAAAAAAAGGATAAGCCAAGTCATAGAGATGAGGGTCAAGTCGTGTCAGCTATTCTTGATTAATGTGACACGGGCTTCCATACAAAAGGAAAACACCCAACATGCAAAACACACCCCACAAAACACTTCCCATCTTTGGAGCAATGGATGTTGTGATCGAAAGAAAAAACATGGTGAACTCAGCAGACCCTCACCACGAGCGGGACCTCGAGATGTAGCAGACCAGTATGCCACTGTTTGGCCTGGCCGCATTTGGTTGCGGCCGAAAAATACCGTCGATCTTTGATTTGTTCGGCGCTCGCCAAAGAAACAATCGGAGTCCACCGGTTTGCTGGCACTTTCTCGGTGGTTTCAGAGGTTTTTATGTTCAACCTGTACTTGGGATATTTTTCTCCCCGCTGACTACAGTAATAGTTTTCAAGTGAGTTGAAACTTGAAACCAGCCAAACGATGTTTGCTTTCCAAGATTCTTCCGAACCACGAAAAGCCTGCTGCATTGAAAAGCCTGCTCCAATCCGGTCGCTCGATTCTGTGCACTGGATGGACATATAACCCGCTCGGGGGGGACCGTTTGGGGTATGTCACTGCCCTTAAGATCTACTGAAGGGTGCCCAGGATGGTCCCAAGTTACACCATCCCAGTTTGGGCGGCCTTCTTTGTGGCGTGCCGGAAATGCAGGCTGTGGCTTGGTGGATCAGCCGGTGATCACTCGGCGTTTGGCGGTGATGTGGGGGAACTCAGAGTCGCAGGAGATTGGCAGGACTTCTGGTGAAGAAGAGTGGGTTCAATCGGAAGAGATTATATATTATAATATATATATATATACATATATAATTATCAAAAAATAGATATCACATATATAGAGCTGCATTGCTGTACATGAAGCGAGTGATTATGTAAAGGGCAAATGTTATTCTGAAATCACTGAGTTTGGTGTTAGCACAAGAATTCTTAATTGAATTGCACATCAACAGGATGATGTTGACTTCTCCCAGGGCCTCAGGGGGGAAAGGCCTGGGGTCTTTCTGTTTTCATTGACATTGACTGACCCAGTGCTTTCAGATGGGTCCGGCATTTCTGATACAGCCCATTGAGTCATCGGCACAAGTTCGCTGGCTCGCCAGTCACGAAAAACCTTCCGGCTGGAAGTGGAGATGAACAATATAAATGAACACCATTCCCACAGAACCGCACACACACAATATATATATATACACACACCCATCGTCAAGTGGAGAATATACTTGTGTAGAGCTTGGGCAGGCTGGGGTGCACAAACATCATCATAACTCCCATGTCATGTTTTGGCTCAAGAGCCAAAAGTGGACAGGGGAGTTTCTGTTCATTGGTTCAAGCAAGGTGTGAGGACACACCACTGCCGTGTGAGGGACACACGTCTATCATGTCTTGGCGCCCTGGCATTGATGTGGCAGTTCATACTGAGGCGCAGCTCCTTTCCGCCGCTGCCTATGCCGAGTTCCGCCAAGCAGTGCAGGACCGCTTGGACCGGGGGGACCGTGTTCAAGCGTTATTCTGTGGCAGAGTGTCGTGGTGTTCGAGCACTACCCTCCCGCGCCAAGGGTGTTTGGCGGGCCCACAGAATTTCCGCCCCTACGTCAACAGGCCTGTTCCACGTCAGCGTGCCCCGTTGCATGAGTTTTCGGGGCAGCTTTGTCTTCCCTTGGATTGGAACCTGGACACGCCGGGGTACGGTCGTGGTTCCGGGCAGCTCTGCGGCCCAAGCCCCGCTGCTGTCCTATGGGTTGGACCCAGATCAGCATTTCCAAGCCGCGCTAGCAGTCGGACAGTCTCCGCTCCAGCCCCCAGTCCTGGATTTGGACCTGCAGTTTGCAGCAGCCTTGACCGGGACATACCGGGACCATGAATGCGCAGTTGGCGCAACCAAGCAGTCAAGCGAGCTCAACCAGCCGCCTTGAGAGCTACCACACAACACCGTGATCTGGGCTTCACTACATTATTGTTGATGCTTGTGTCCTGGCCGGACGTGCAATACCCTCACATTTTGGTGTATGGGTTGCCAGCTGTGGCCACATCTTGGCCATGTGATGTTTTTCCGCAGCAGGAGGTAGAGCCCATCTCGCTGGAGCAAGTCTTCACAGACTGGCAGACGCACAATGCGGCATTGCGCAAAACCCTCAAACCTAGCAAGGACGATGCCTTCTTGTTGGAACAATCATGGCAGGAGTGACCTGCTGGCGTTGGCAAGGACGATGCCTTCTTGTTGGAACAATCGTGCAAAAATGCCGAGAGGAGTTTCAGCACCCCGCCCATGCGCAGGAGTGACCTGCTGGCGTTGATCAAGGACGCACCGCATCGATTGATACCTCGCTGTGTGATCACTCAAAGCTCAGGGAAGCAGCGCATCATCGACAGTGCCGACCAGGGAGGACAAACTATGTACTCTGCTGACTTCAACAAGTTGGTTCTTTGTTCGCCCCTGCGGCCAGCACAGCGCATACAGGCAACCTTGGCCACCATGACGGTGACACAACAGCAAGAGGCAGCTCAGACAGACGCCTGGGAGACAGGTGGCTCACCCATGCGAGAGAGCGATACACTTGGCTGTATGGTGATGTTTTACCACCATGTGTGGCAAGAACCGGCGTTTCAAGTTTATGCAGGTCTTTTTTTGGTCTCCCTCTAGCGGTGACATCCTTCAATCGATATTCTCGGTTGGTTGAAGCCCTGGGGCGGCGTCTTTGTGGCGCCTTGGTGAGTCTATATTTTGATGATGCCTCACTGACAGACTGGCGCTCCAGCCAAGGTTCCGCCCAATGGGCATTTAAAACCCTCAATGAGTTGCTCGGCACACCGTTGGCCCCGGACAAGAGGCTGGCAAACTTCTTGGAACAGGGCATGTACACGCGCATTGGCTGTAGTGGTTTGGGCGCCATCAAACAGCGTCAGTTGTCAAAGGACCGGATACTTACCCCTGAGCTATAGAGCATTGTTTTGCAATTCTGGACGCCGTCTTTGATATGCACCCAGCACGGGAGATTGATATCATCCCTCGTGAGCGCCCTCGGTTTGTGGCGGCCTCAGATGCAGCGCTGGAAATTCCGAAGCAGGGCACAGGTGGCTTCCTTCTGGTGTTCTTCCATGGCCCTGCTCAAGAACGTTTGGGGTTTGTGTCTGAGATTCCGGATCATGGCCGTCCTTTATGAACACTTTGTCTACAGGAATAGACAGGGTACCTTTGGCCATGCCCCACTAGGTAATACTGTTGTGTTGTCGATGCATCGCAGATTTAGGATTTCCGCCAGAGCTGTTTTTCTCAGTTCCGTCAAGCGGAAGCGGGGATTTTGGAGGCCAGAGGGTGGAGAAGACTTGGGGATTCGTGTTTGTCGTATGAGCGTGCTACTTTGCATTTGCATTTTTGGCTCAGTGGAGTGCTGTTTGGAGCTTGTCTGGTAGAGTTCCTGAAGTTGAATGAAGCTGACCACTAACGAACTCAGATCTTCTCACCTCATGTCTTCAGGATCAAAAGAGGGCTGGGAGTCCCACCAACTTGATCATTTGGATCGACAAGAGACACCAACCAGACATTAGACAACAACTTAGCAAGACATTAGACAACAACTTCTAGACAGCAGATTGCGGCAACGCCAGCCCTGCGGGACCGTTATAGCAATGACTGGGCAATATCATTGAAAAACAAGGATCCTGCGCTCCTAGGGAAAGTTCACAATCACTTGCTGCAAGTGATTGAGACCGAGAAGAGGACGGTGGATGAGGTGAAGCTTGTGGAGAACTTGAACCAGATCCATCTCCGGACAAGGCGACTGGTGTCCTTCAGCGCGATCTCAGATTGGGTCACACGACGAATGGCCAACTTCAAAGGCGGCAAGCGCAAGCAGTCAGAAGGCGCCAAGGCCAAGTTCTGGTCTTTGCAAGAGCCCGGCTCGGAAGCATCAGTTTCGGAAGTTGCGCCTGGTGTGCCTGAGCCTGACTCTCGAGCGATTTCGCAGAAGTTCTTACTTCAGAAGGCCTTGATGCTCTTTACGGCACCACACCGGCTGCCAAAGGACGATGAGGAGCTGGAGCTGGGAGCAGTTCTTGGAGAGGGAACATATGGCTGCGTTTGCCGGGCTATGTGGCGACACACGCCTGTGGCAGTGAAGACCATGTGCCTTGGCTCTTTCCCTAACTGTGTGCTTTTTTTCCCGAATGCGTAGCGAAGGGTTCTCGTTTAACTCTGGGGGTCTGTTGTTCGCGACACGTTGTTTCTATGTTCGCAACCATCCGCAACCGTTCGCAACCGTTCGGCTCAGGCACACCAGGCGCAGCTTCCGAAACTGATGCTTCCGAGCCGGGCTCTTGCAAAGACCAGAACTTGGCCTTGGCGCCTTCTGACTGCTTGCGCTTGCCACCTTTGAAGTTGGCCATTCGTCGTGTGACCCAATCTGAGATCGCGCTGAAGGACACCAGTCGCCTCGTCCGGAGATGGATCTGGTTCAAGTTCTCCACAAGCTTCACCTCATCCACAGTTCTCTTCTCGGTCTCAATCACTTGCAGCAAGTGATTGTGAACTTTTCCTAGGAGCGCCGGATTGATATTGCCCAGTGTGGAGGATGATTTCACTGCGCAGGCGCAGCGTTTTGTGAGATCCGCAGTTTGCTGCGCAGTTCCATTGGGATTAGCGTTTGGAGAGTCGTGTTTTTGGGGTGTTGGATGTGGCCATGCCATTGGGATTTGTGTTTCAGGGTGTGGCATCGAAGCTCTGTCTTCATGACAAGTCTCAGCTGAAATGGCGATTTTGGTGGATGGGAGTGTGCTCAGAACGGACCGAAATCATTCCAAACGTGTGGTGTGGTGCAAATTTTGTTGAAGCTCACATGAGATGATATTGTCACTTTTCGTGGCAGGCGCAGTACTTTGTGCGGGTTTTGAGGTGTGGAAGTGCGATTTTCGTGGCAGGCGCAGGGAATCGTGAGGTTGCGAGGTGTGACAGAGGTGACATTTCGTGGCAGGCGCAGTACTTTGTGCGTGTCAGACGTGTGGACGCGGAAAGATTCGTGGTAGGCGCAGGGAATCATGAGGTTGTGAGTTGTGGTAGAGGTGAATGTCGCTGTCACATTGGGATTGGCGTGTGAGCGGGTGTTGTTTGGAGGGGATCGCAAAACTGCTTGGCAGGGATGCGTGATGCGTGTGCTCCGATGGGTGTTTCCACTTGACTTTTGGAGGAAGTCTCGTACGAAACGCTCGTTTTGCAGACTTTGACATGTGAGTTTGTGAGGAAGTCTCGTACGAAACGCTCGTTTTGGAGACTTGACATGTGACTTTTGGAGGAAGTCTCGTACGAAACGCTCGTTTTGGGGACTTGACGTGTGACTTTTGGAGGAAGTCTCGTACGAAACGCTCGTCTTGCAGCCTCGAAGCGTGTGTCCTACAAGAGTGTCCCAGATAGATAGAGTGTCCCACAAGAGTGTCCCACACCCGTGTCCCACAAGAGTGTCTCACAAGAGTGCCCCTTATACGAGTGTCCCGCAAGAGTGTCCTACAAGAGTGTCCGCAAGAGTGTCCTACAAAAGTATCCCACAAGAGTTTCCTACAAGAGTGTCCCACAAGAGTGTCCCACAAGAGTGTCCTACAAGAGTGTCCCACAAGAGTGTCCTACAAGAGTGTCCCACAAGAGTGTCCCACAAGAGTGTCCCACGAGAGTGTCCCACAACAGTGTCCCACAAGAGTGTCTCACAAGAGCGTCCCTTAAGAGTGTCCTACAAGAGTATCCCACAAGAGCTTCCTACAAGAGTGTCCCACAGGAGTGTCCCACAGGAGTGTCCCACAAGAGTGTCCTACAAGAGTGTCCCACAAGAGTGTTCTACAAGAGTGTCTCACAAGAGTGTCCCATAAGAGTGTCCCACAAGAGTGTCCTACAAGAGGGTTCCACAAGAGTTTCCTACAAGAGTGTCCCGCAAGAGTGTCTCGCAAGAGTGTCCTGCACTGCAAGTGACCCACAAGAGTGTCGTACAAGAGTGTCTCACAAGAGTGTCCCACAAGAGTGTCCGACAAGAGTGTCCCATAAAAGTGACCCACAAGAGTGTCCTATAACAATGTCCCACAAGAGTGTCCTACAAGAGTGTCCGACAAGAGTGTCCCATAAGAGTGACCCACAAGAGCGTCCTATGACAGTGTCCCACAAGAGTGTCCTACAAGAGTGTCCCATAAGAGTGTCCCAAGAGTGTCCTGTAAGAGTGTTCCATAAGAGTTTCCTACAAGGGTGACCCGCAAGAGTGTCCTACAAGAGTGTCCTACAAGAGTGTCCCACAAGAGTGTCCCACAAGAGTGTC